AAATGTCTCTTTTTTTAATGAAACTGTGTTAGTAGCAATTATGTTATGCTAGACAGAAGCAAACATTTGTTATTATTTTCCACTAGTGATTTTTCTCAAATTAATTAGTCTGTTATGGTTTCCAGAATGATTTCATATCCATTATCCTATTTTGAATTCAAGAAAGGGCTTTCTAAATAATATAGGTAGTAATTTTTGCACAGTTAATGTTGTAAGTTAGAAATAGGTAATTTAACTATTATAGCTTCTAAGTTGCCAGAGGCCCTTACTCAAATCAGGTATTTTCTCCTGCAAGCAGTTCCTTGAAATTAAGGTGCCTGCTCACAGCAGACAACTGAGCTGAACTAACTTATGACAAATAGTGTGGCCAGTAGGATTAAGGAAGGAATCATGCCCCTGTATTCAGCACTGGTGAGGCCACACCTCAAATCCTGTGTTCAGTTTTGGGCTCCTCACTACAAGAAAGACATTAAGGTGCTGGAGCATGTCCAGAGAAGGGCAACAAAGCTGGCGAAGGGTCTGGAGTAAGTCCTATGAAGAGCAACTGAGGTAGCTGGAGTTGTTTAAACTGGAGAAAAGGATGCTCAGGGGGGACCTTATTGCTCTCTACAACTACCTCAAAGGAGGCTGTAGTGAGGTGGATGTTGGTCTCTCATTCCAAGTGACAAGCGATAGGATAAGAGGAAATGGCCTCAAGTTGTACCAGGAGAGGCTAAGATTGGATATTAGTGAGAAATTCCTAATGGAAAGGACTGTCAAGTATTGGAACAGGCTGCCAAGGGAAGTGGTTGAGTCACCACCCTGGGGGTATCTAAAAGCTGTGTGGACATGGTTTAGTGATGGACATGGCAGTGCTGGGTTAATGGTGGGACTTAATGATCTTGGTAGTCTTTTCCAACCTAAATCATTCTATGATTCTAATGATAAGGGAGTCAGAGCACCAGACCCTCCATTTAGTAAGACCACAAGCACCACACAACTTTGGTCTCTTCAGAAACTGGAGCCAGTGTGTCTTCCAATAGCCATGCCATTTTTTTAGAAGTAACCCAAATCCCAACAGAAAAGCCTGAATTTGTGCCAGCATGCACTGTCAACAGCTGCTGACCTCCTGGAGAGGTGTGCAATCCTGCTGAAGCATAGTCTGCCCCATGCTGGTGCTCTGGCTGGTCCACCACAAGAGATGGAGTGTGCCCTGCCCCAGGTACTGCTCGTGGTGGTAGGGCTATTTGCCCACCATCTCCCTTTCCCCCCATGCAGAGGGATGCTTGCACTCTGGCAGCCTCTTTCAAATACAGAAGTAAGATAGTCAGAAAGCAAATATTGCCCCAATGTAGCTTAAAGTCAATATTTTGAGCTGCTGGTTGGCCTATTTGATGACAGCCAGAGGTTGGAGGTCACCTACCTGTTGATGATGGCAGCAGGAGCACAGGAGGCAGAGTCAGCAATCTTCCTTGCCATTGTTCAACTAGGTTTGTTTGCAGATTGAGTATGTCAATCACAAAATTCATCCCATTCTCTTCACTGGGAGCTTTCTGCTTGTACAGAAAAGAGGGACATGGAAAATGCCCAATTCTTCTTACAGACAATTTCTATTTTCAGTCCTCCTGAAAAGCATTTTGCCTCTCTTGGAAATTTGTGGGAAATAACAGAGATAAATCCGGAGGCAGCCTGAACGGGATCAGGTTTTGGTGCTAAACACTAAAGCTTCTGTCCACAGTATCAGCGAGATGGGGATTGCAGGGGCCACCGGTATAAAGCGTGCAGAAAACAGGAGCGACTGCTCTGCTCCGCAAAGGAAGCCTGGCATCTAGTGGACAGTTAGCTGTTGCATCATTTCTGCCTTTTTGGTTAGTAGAGCTGGAGGCTACCTACACGCCACCCCAAAACTGGTCCTAACTCTAAGTTCGTGTGCCTGACCGCAAGGTGTAGTCAGCTCTAGTCCTAATTATGGGAAAAAATTGATCGCAACTCTTAAATCTGACCAGCTGCTACTTAAAAAGTTGAGCTCTATTATAAATAGTTCCATCGTGGAACTTGCTTTTGTGCTATACATCCTATTTTCTGTGGGTTATTTTCCCCGCAATGAATGTAAACATATGGAAAAAAAGATGTTTTCCATGAAATCATGCTGAAAACCTGCTCAGTAAGAGAGATACGAGATACAATATCTGTAAAAGGTACTACAGGAAGGACTCACATTATTGTCATTTAATCTCAAATATATTTTTATTAGTTGTTCCAACAAGATGTGACCCCCCCTACATTTCTTCTTTCCTTCCATTTTGAAAGTAATTTTAACTCACATCACTCTCTTTGAGTATCAAGTCAACGTTTATATGCATTATGTTCCTTTCCTATTCTTATTCAGAGTTTATTTGAGGCCAAGAAGCAAGTATGTCATGTTGCATGGCTACTTTGAATAGATTTGTTCCTTTCACTTAGAGCAGTATTTTTCTGTACTTACTCATGTTAAGTTGTATCTTACTTTGCACTCAGTCCTATTAAAAATAATAGGATTAATTTTAAAATAAGGTAATATGCAACATTTAGAGAAGGAGAGAATATGATCTATGTAATAATTAAATTATATTTGTTAATTAATAAAATTGTATTACATTAGGGGGTTTACAGTACTTTAGAAAAAAACTAAAATGAATAGTTTTCTCATAACTAATTCAGTAAGACAGTTGATGGACCTAAGTCTCAAAAAACCTTAGCAAGAAAACAGGTGCGTCTTTAAGTTGATTTTGAGTGCTTTACAAACGCCAGTGGCAGTTTTCTCCCCCTGGTGGCCAGGAGAATGAGTTTCCTTCGGTTCCTACATCAGCAGCATCCCTGTTCCTCGTTTCCCTCCTTAGGAGCCTGACGACCAGACTTCTGCAGAAAATGAAAATTGTTAGTGGGCCAGCACTTAGCACAAAACTTGTCCTTTGCTATCGATAGCAATGGCAAGAGATTTCTCCAGAGTGGCACTCAAGACATTAATGGAGCAGTAATTAAATTCTTGACATGCAGATAATGGAGCCTGCCTCGCTCCGGTAACAAATTCTGTCATAATTAGATTCTTTAACCAAGTAGCCATAGAAAAGAGAAAGGCCTAAGAATATGTATTTTATTATTCTTGATCTTTTTAAAGGAGAGAATGTACTTGAAAATCATTTTTTTTTTGGTAAAGCTAAGCCAGAAATTATAAAAATGGTAATGACTTCATGAGTATTTGAAAACTGAGCTGTCAGCATATCAGAAAGTTAGAAAATAAGGTATCACAGTACTTGCTAGGGAATACTTAGCAAATAGCTTATGCTATGTAGGCAACATAATGTGTTGATTTTTCTTCAATGTGTCATGCCAATTAAGAGGCACATTTGTTTTCATCCCGAAAGGTTTATTCTGTTTTAATTGAAAATCTCAACAAAGCCTTAAAATGTGAAGCATGTCTTCAGAAACCCTTATTGACCATCCCCTTTGCTCTGCCCTTCAAAAAGAGGTGAATATAAAGAGTTAGAAATTGGAAAAGCTCTGGAGACGAATTTCGTGTGGTGCCAAGCTCCTTTTGTGCTGATTCCCACAGTGAAAAAAGGACCTTTTTTAGGATCCAGGAACAAACCAGGGACAGCACTGTGTTTATATGGGGCCGTGGCCCTCAGTTGATACCTGCTGTATGGACTGCTATGTCAGCTTGATTTCCCACCTCTGGGGCCAGAGACACATTAGCTGGATGATCTCCATGCTACAGCTCTTGGCTTTGCTAGGATTGCGGGAGGAGAAGGAAAACTGCTGGTTTCCATGCTGGCCATGGTTGTCTGTCTGTCCGTCTTTTGAAGTTCATCACAAAGTGGGGTTGGCAGCTGGGATAAGAGAACTCCTGCCAGCCCCAGCCCTGAGCAGGCCAGTAAATATCTGACTTCAGCAACAGCTGCAGTTATGGTGAGGGGCTGTGAACTCTGCCTGCACAGCCATGGCCTGTTTTTCCTTTCATCCCTGCACTACAGAGGCAAAGACCATGGCAGGAAGAAGCAGCAGGTACCTAGAGGCAACAATATCTGTCTCCAGAAGCTGTAGTTTGGCTCATCATAGCTTGAGAACCAGTCCCTTATTCAACATTTACCTCTTCCCTCTTTTTGTCCTTACCTTAAAAGCAGGATCTGGGAATTCGGGAGTTTGTTACATCCCTAGTAGTCTAATTACAACCCACACTGTAAATAGGCTCAAACATCATTTTTTCTCATTTGACATATGTACATGTTGACCAAAGAAAACTGTAATGTATTAAAATCAACTGCATGGGCTTGTTCATGTGATATTTTTGTCTTACATGGTAAAAATTAATTAAAAGGCCAAATTAAGGACAGCTTCTATGAGGTCTGCATGACTTTTTGAGTTGTCCCCTGTTGTTCTTATTAAAATTGGACACAAGAAGACAGATTAAGGAACCAGGAAAAGCATACTAAGGAAAGAGAGAAAGAGAGAGAAACGGTAATTTTTAAAATGTAGTTGGAAGAGGCTGCAGGAGATCATCCAGTTCTTTCTCTGCCTAAAGGCAGGATCAACTATAACTATGTCAGCTTTGACAGATGTTTGCCTAACTGGTTCTTAAAAGTTTCTAATGATGACGAATTCATAACCTCACCAGATGTTATGCTCTCATGTTTAATTACCTCTATGGTTTGAAAGAATTTCTTAAGCCTAATGCAATCAGTACTTGTTCTGCTTTTCATGAAAATAGGGGACAGCTGTTTCTCTACCTCCTTGCTGTATCTTTACGTGTACTTGAAGACATGTTCTCCTTGGTATTCTTTATATTCAACACGTCCCATTTATTTAACCTTCCCTTAAAGGCCGTGATCTAGAGAAATGAGAATAAACAGAGGTCTTCTCTGAACTATCTCCAACCACAATAAAACAAGCTGTATGTTTCCAACTGTGTCCCAAACTGGACACAGTTTTCTTGCCTTAGGGAGCACTGGATATAACAATTCTACTCAAAGAAAAGAGCAGTCTTTGGGATGTACTGTTTTAATACAAACATACATGGCATTTCCAGTCTTCATAGTGGCATGTCCTGTTCTGCTTCTGCAGAAGAATGTTTATGCAGGCTATTTTCTGTCTGTCCTGTGTGGAATGGTGATTTTCGCTGTCGCATAACATGTAATTTTTTTCAAACATGTTCTTCAATTTGCAAGATCACTTTGAATTTTAATCTTAATTTCAATGCAAGATCTCCAGCGTGCTTACAGTCCTGTCTTTGTTTGGTGTCATCTTCAAGCTGGGCACATGCAGTTTGCATCCCCTGACCTGGATGGTAAATACAAGGATTGGACAAAAGCCATGGGAACACATCCCATATGATATATTCTTCTATGCTGACCACTCACTATTGGGCCATTAATCAGTTCTGGTGTTTAATATGGATTGTGTTTCTGCCATAGGATACCCCAAATTATTGATATGTCAGAAGGACACACTGCAAAAAGCCTTACTGAAGTCAATATATATAACGTTTGCTGTTTTCTCCATGTTCATAAACCTTCCTGCTCTGCTTCAAAACAAGTTAAATTGGTTTGACACTGGATTTTCACAAATCCATGCTGGTTGTTTCTCCCTAGGTGTGTGTGTGGGGCGAGCATGTGGGTGTACATTAAGTGATTACAATTTCTTGGCATTTTATTGGCATAATAAATCTCTCTCATTGAAAGTGTTTCAAGCTTCAGCTGGTTGTGTCACAGCCCTGAAAATTATCTTTCACCTTAAATACAAAATCTCACTACACAGATAGGACGGAAAATTGTCATCCTTCTCTCTCTCAAAAGTAGCTGGGGAAAAAGTAGGTGGATCAGGTTTTATAAATACAATTTGAAAAAAAAAAGTGTAAAAATGTTTGGTGCAAATATGTATCTGTTCATGTGTATTTATTTATGCAAGTCCCTGTGATATTGCTTTGATGAGTTAGAGGGACAGTTATATGAAATCTGGGCCAAAGAACTTTAATTTCCTGTTCATTTTTACTCTGTCAGTTTATGTACTACACAATGTCAAAAATGCAACGGTATAGGAGTTACGTTACAGCAGTGTAGCCTGATAGCAGTAAGCCAAAAAGTAAGCATGCAAGCACACACTGGAAATGTACCTGTTTCAATTGGCTCAGAAGGACAAAAATACCTTTTGGCATGCACTTTCAAGGTTATGCTCCTTGCAAAATGGTTCTCTGAAACAAAAAGTGATTTATCTGTGATTTGCAAATAATACGGGAGGTCTCAGCTGCAGGTGGCCAATCCAAGATCCTTGAGAATGATACCTGTTCATACACTTCTGACCCTGAGATCCCTTCAAAGTCCTGAGGACTGGCAAACTGATGTCTACAGGATTGCTATCACCTTTGAAACCCAGTTCTTACACTGACTAGATTGTTTCTAAAGCTTGTTATGGTTATTTCTTCAGTCATCAGCTATTGACCTTGAGCTGTTATTGATAGCCTTACCATACTAGTAGTTCTCCTTGTAATGACACACTCTGAATATGGTATAGATGGAAATTAAAAGGTATTTATAAACAATTGAAACTGCCTTGCTGAAGACCTGTATCTGACTAATAAACTCTGGGCATTTTTTACAATGTAACTTAGCAAATGAAGGTGGTATGTAGAAAAGTGTCTTCAAAAAGCCTTTGTAAGGGTCTCATTCTGGCTCCATTCTCGACTTTACAAAGAGCAACTTAAGCTCACTGCAGTAGCTTCCTGAGGTCATCTGGCGGAATCAAACCCTAAGCACATGCCTGGAGGGGGGGGTTAAGATATGTCAAGTTTCTAGCAAGCCAAGAGTTTAGAAACCATTATAGCAGGTTTTGTCAGCCAAAATAATATCTTAACATTAGAATAATCTTCAAAATGTAATCCAGTGTGCTTCCTGAACTGTGCTGTTATAAATTAATGGCAAAGCTAACTACTATACCATGTATTTCATTAGTTAATAACACCAGCAACTAGTTATAGGAATAAATACTTATGTCCCTTCTTTCATATATTTAGGAGTTCAGGCAAAAGTGATTTTGATGAAGCTGCATTTTTTCAAATGTATGTAACTCCTTAAGTATTAAAGAAACAGCAACTACTGCTCCCCTTTCTAGCATTTTCTGACCCAATGTAGATTCTAAGTGCTCAGAAGATGTATGATGCCACTAAATCAGGGGTATTGAGGGAAGACAAATTGGGCAGTAGATGATCATCCCTGACTATGCACTATCATGAATGTTTTAAATAATCTAAAGATAGTCTGCAGTCCTGTAGGGAACTCTGCATGAATGATCTGCTGTGGCAGCAGAATAAAATGTGAAACACCCTGATTGTTTCAATGAAACTGGTGTTCCAGCCTTAGGCAGATTTATCTACAATTCAGTGGGTGTTGTAAGGAACAGATCTGGGCAGAAGAAAGTCCTCTGGTATAAACCATAGATCTAAATGTGTTTCACGAAACTAAGCTTTCCACCAGGCAACCTACAAGGCTAGTTTGGACTAGCCTGCTTTCATTACTTGGAACAAGAGTAAATGTTAACTGTAATATCATAAGGTCCACACCTTTAAGAGGTATATTAAATGGAAGTGGTACCAATCTTTGTAGCTGCCACTCACAATAAAATTCCGACTCCAACAGGTATGGAAAGCAGTAAAGTTTTGGGGTTTTTTTTGCTTCCTCTGGACTGAATCCTTACTTAAGTAATAACACCAGTGCTGGTACTGCACATAGTTTAATTATTTTAAGGTCATGAATGGACTCTGAGGAAATATAAAGCACTTTATAAGTAAGATTCACATTTTTCTAAGGAAACGATTTATAAATGTTTCAATATTCTGATAAAATATATGCTTCCAAGATTTTATTTCATAAATAGAAAGTATTTCTTGGAAATAACTAGTGGATTTCTACTCTTTGTGCAGTCAGCAATAGATTGGGCATTATTCCTGTCGATCAGTACATTTAGCATGTGTCAGGAGTGATTCCTGCTCTGTGTAGGAAAGCTCAGAAGAATCATATTACATATGAAGAGCAAGATACAGAAACAATGAGGAAAGCCTATCCAAGTATGCAGGAGCATTAGTAGGTGACACCTGGTGAAAGAATAACTTCCCTGGTGTAGGCATGAGCTTGCTCTGTGTCCCTTCCAAGACCTTGCATACAAAGGCCAGAGGTGATGCCCAGGTGAGCTCGACAATGCAAATACTTGAGTTTGCACTCCTAACCTCAGTACATTACCATGATCCTGCAAGGCACTAAGTGCTAAGGCAAATTCTCAGCACCTAAACAGTCCAGAAGTGCCCTTCGGGCTTTTCCCCAAGAGTCAACATGGCATCTTCAAATGACTATAATTTACTACCATGTTGGAATTTTTTTTACTACTGTTACATTTACTTCTGTTTGGCTGCTGCAACATTTAACCCAGTTTCCTAAGAAGGACAAGCTTCCAATCAGGCAAATTCTCCTCTTGATCCCCACAAAAACTTCTGAAATGAACACTCACATTTCAACCAAATTTGAAAGACAAGCAGAAGTCCTTACAATAAGCAGAAATTCCTTGGAAGTGACACTCAGAGGCAACAAGGCAAAACTTTTCTGTTCCACAGTCGGTTGCTCAGAGAATACAGCACATGCTATGGGGAGGAAGCTTTCTTTGCTGGGTGAGGGTGTCATTCAGGACTTAAACAGGGAGAGAAAGGAGGAGCTGAACGGCAAAGACCACAATTAATAGGAAACCAAGCTTCATTAACTCTACTGTTACCAAACGGAGTTGTTTACCTTCTCACTGAGCAGTTACAAAGTTAAACAATGGCATACAAAGGATCAGGACTGCTTAAAATGCACATGAGCTTTTGCAGGAGGAGGGCAGTGCAGCTTGGAAGGGTGGCAAGTTGCGCATATCAGGCTTGAGCATGCTGCCATTTCAATCTCTGGAGAAATAACCACCATCTTTACTGGTGCAGAATCCATATAATCTATTATTAAGTACTGAATCATATTGCATATTTCTTCTGGAGCATCATGCTGGAAAACAATTAACCTCAAAATATTAAAAACCCCAGCAGAAGTATCATGGATGCATAGTTTCTAAAAAGCCACAGCCATTCGAGAGCTAGTCAGATTTTTTAATATGTTTAATGTCATTTCTGAGAGAGTATTTACCCAAATTAATGAAATGAGTAACGAGCACAGTGTCTGAAATTCTACACTCAAGTTTCTCTTGTTTCTTAATCAAATACACAGAAACACAAAAACAGCAACTAACTACTTCAGAGATGTAGAGAAAAGTAAACTGTGGATTTTTTTACAAGTAAGACAAAAGAATATATATTTTCCATAAGATTAATCTTGAAATAATAGCACTTGAAATAAACTATTTCAAATAACCTCAGATAAAAACCCAAAAGATACTGGGATAACACTTTCCTAGAAAACATGAACCGCAGTAGACACTTTTAAAGTATCCTCATACACACAAAAAAATGAGACTCACGTAAAGTAATACCAATACAAAATCAGTCATACTACAAAACCAGTCTCATCCTCTTGTTCTTCCCCAAAGGGTGTTCTTTTTTATTGTCTGCTGAATAGAAGAAGCTGACAATTCAATGAACAATAAAAAGGAATACCCCCTTGGGGAAAGGAGAAAAGAGGCAGCTCTGGGACAGTTCCGACCTGAGGCTTTACTCTGCAATCACTGTGCAGCTCACACAACAAAATAGTTTGGATATTTATATATTTAGGTATGGTGAGGTGGCTACAGCAACGTCATGTACTATGTACAACTCTCATTGCTTTTTCGGCTGCAGCTGAACTAGTTTCAACACTTAAATAGATGATTATTTATTAATAGTAATAATTATTATTATAGAGTAAAACCCCATCTGCATTTGACAACTTGTCTTGTTGCTCAGAATTTATAACAAAGCAGAAACACCTTCCCCCTATGCTGTACAGTATCTGCGTGCAAGCCCCAGCAGATGTTCTGTAAGGACCTATATATGTCACAGATTCTGTTGCTTTTATACCACAGTAAAACTTCAGTGTGTTCTCTTGTTGTAGTCAATGGAGACCTTCCCCTAATGCAAAGCAGCACCCCCGCGAATATTTCTTGAAGTGACAGGGCAAAAAAAGGGCATGAATCAAAGGCAAAAGAACAATAGTTGAAACAATAGAGACTTGTTAGGAATGGCTGCAGACACATTTTGCTTTGGCTCATTGTTTACTAATAAACAACAATTTTACTACTTCGTCACTACTTCACATAAAATGTGGCTTTTCTTACCCTGACATATTTTAACTCCTATTATCAAACTCTTAAAACTGAATTTACTTCTACTAAAGATAATGTAAATTCAATTTGCATCAATTTCTAAATGAGTAATTTCAAACTGATGTTGTTTGCTTTTGCTTCTCTCTGTGTTTGAGCCATTATTATATATCACTACTCTATAAACCTCCACAACGATCTCAGAAGTCCTACATACCATCTGGTATGCTCCTCTATCACTGGCATAGCAACAGAGCTGTAGCTTAAGTAAAAACAAGTCAAATTTAACAGGTCTAATGTTGCATGTAAAAGCAATTCTGTATATAAATAGATTCTTTTCAAATTTCTGCTACCATTCTTCCAAAAAGTCTCACAAATCAGCCTTCGAAACAATAGCAGACAGCAATCTGTCAGTTCTTCGGTAAGCAGGAGCTTAATGGTGTCATTAGCACCTCAAAAAAGATGTTTTGCCTGCCTTGCTTGCCAGGAATTCACGATAGCTTGTTAATAATACTAATATCTACCAATTACTTAGTCTTTTCAAGTTCAAAGCACTGTAAAAATAATCTGCTGCAGCACTTTCTAAATTCATGCTAATTCCTGTTAACACAATGCTTTTTAAATCTGACATATTCTAGAGTGTTGAATTTAACCCCCTTTATTTTCATTGTTTTCTTATCTTGAACTTGCTTTCTCTCCCAGGTTCTGGAATTCATGTCTCTTTTTCTTATTATTTTTCCCCCAACACTGGTGTTCCTGACTGCTTTGTTGAGTCGCAAATACAGACGGACCTGAGCATATGATCCCCTTTCTCCAGTTTCATCGTTCTTTTCTCAGCTTTTCTAATACTACTCTTTCAGCTTTGCAGCTTCACAGCCCATATTTTTCTACATTTATCATCGCTGTTTTGACTGTGTCCTCGAAGTCAGTCAAACAATGTGACTTGAATCTATCACATGTATAGTTTGTTATCCCCTCCTCATGGGAAAAAGCGGTCTAAGTCTTGTCAGTGTTCTTAAACTTCAGATGCTTATATGTGTTTCTGTAAGTTTGTGTGAGACAAGCACATTAGAGGTGCTAACAGCAGCAGAAATGCTTTGCAAAGAAGCTCACCAGCTTTGCAATGGTTATCAAGTCCCAGGAAGGAACTAAATCCAAGTGATAAAGTGAAAGGGTCCTCACGGTCCCTCATTTTTCCTCTTATAGGCCTCACCCAGCTTAACTTCTGATGTACGTACAAGGTGCTTTATTCCCATTTTGGGGGTAACTTGCCTTTTAAGTGGGTGGAATTTCAAGTTGGTAGTAATCTGAGCGTGTTCTGACAGGCAAAACCCTGTCCCATTTTCAGACTGACCTGCTGTTTGCATGAAAGCCCTTTTCATATGTTAACAGTGAGTCTAGCCCGGAAACTCCCTCCTCAGAGGATAGCCTCAGAGGATAACCTCAGATGATCTCTGAACTGCACTGTGCTGACACCAGCCAGTCTGCAAATCCACCTGCGCCTTGGCATCCACCTCTGCAGGGGAAATCTGTCTTCTCTTCCATTTACACATTCAGCTGCCACTTCTTTGAATTTGGGATTAGCACAATGCAGATTCCAACAACTTTCAACTCATCTGTTATGCAAATATTAGATTAATATTTGATTTGGAGGCAAGGCATCTTCACTGCAGATTGATTTGTCAAATGGTTCCTCCAAATCATTTTGCTCCTAAAAGCTTACCTACCTGCTCAGTACTGAGTTTTATTTTCTTGCTTTAGTGGAAACCCTGATTACAAACTCCTGAGGCTGGAGTAAGAGGAGACACTACTCAAATGTGCAAGATGGAAAAGCCTTTTGAAACCCATACCACTTCTCCCTGCCATTTGCCTGATGGAAAAGGCGGGAGAATTGGAATCAGGCACAAATGAGTTGAACTAGTTGCTTGTACTGGGTGAATGCCACCACCGAGCACCACAACGTGTTGTAAAATGCACAGTGCCAAAGAAAGCATCAACCAATGCCCATGAGAGTCACCTTCAGAAAATCAAACTTGATCATCAAAATCATCATCATGATTTAGTAGGAGGTAGCCAAGCCCTAGAGTTGCTAACTGCTGGTGATAGAAACTGATTTGGATACAAAGAAATTTCCAGGTAGAGGTAACATATGTATAGGTGGCATTTCTGGACGTACCTGGATCACCTCCAGCTTTCAGGATGAAGCCAGTTTGTCAGACAACACAGTGAGCCCTGCCTTCATGCAGCCTGGAAATAAGTTATGCTGACAGTAGCACACAACCTCGTACAGCACAGCCACGATCCTCACTCAGCAGTTTGGGTTGCTGAAATTTAAAAGGCAAATAACATCAACGGTAAAGGAGCTGTCTGTGAGCCCAGCACTACAGGGCTGGCACGATGGATGAGGAAGTGGCTTTTTTGGTTGTTTTTCTGTTAGCCAGTACAGTCACTGCAGAATGTTTTTAATAGCTGCTGCACCTGGCTCCCTGGTATAATACTTATTCATATCCGCCAGGCCTTGAAACACTTTTTTTCACAGGTGGCTAGTATTTGAAGGGCACATGTGTAAAGGTAGTTTTGGTACCTCTCTGCCACTTCAATATTTAAGGCCACCATTTCAGCCCTGGCAAGGTTCTCTGTGCAATGCCAGGTAACCTAAGGGCCCTTTGCCTGTGCAGACCTGGCTGCACGTGCCCTGGCATCACACGGCATGAACTGAAATCCAGACTGGCAGCAGGTCCTGACCCAAGACTTCAAAAGGAGATGTTTTTCCATCTGTCCTGCCAAAGGCGAACAATCCTGGAAGCATGTTGAGGAACCTAAGCTGAAAACTGCCCTAAATCCACACCTGGGGGACAGGATGCCATTCAGAGGGATCTGGACAAGCTCAAGAAGTGGGTCCATGGGACTCTCATGAGGTTCAACAAGACCAAATGCAATGTGCTTCACCAGGGTTAGGGGCAACCCCTGATATCAATACAGGCTGAGGGATGAACAGAATGAGAGCAGCCCTGCTGAGAAGGACTTGTGGGTGCTGGTGGATGAGAAGCTGGACATGATCCAGAAATGTGCATTTGGAGCCCAGAAAGCCAATTGTGTCTTGGGTTGTATCAAAAGCAGCATAGTCAGCAGGCCAAGGGAGGGGATCCTCCCCCTCTACTCTGCTCTGGTGAGACCCTACCTGAGTGCTGCAACCAGCTCTGGGGTACTCAGCACAGGAAAGACATTGACCTGTTGGAGCAAGTCCAGAGGAGGGACACCAAGCTGACTAGAGGGATGGAAGACCTCTCCTGTGAAAAAGTGCTGAGAGAACTGGGTTTGTTCAGCCTGCAGAAGAGAAGGCTTCAGGGTGACCTAATTGCAGCCTTCCAGTAGCTGAAGGGAGCTACAAGAAAATGGAGAGGGACTATACAAGGGCTTGTAGTGACAGGACAAGAGGGAACCGCTTCAAACTGAAAGAGAGTAGTTTTAAATTAGATGTTAGGAAACAAT